TGAATCCAATTGCATCATGGTGAAAAAGTTGGGAAAAGTTGGGAAAAAATAAGAAATTTTCATAACTTAGAATTAGGTTTCTTGATCAACAAGTTTCACATTTTGACATATCTTGATGAATTATGACCCTTGGCACTTGATTTTGACCAAAAAGTCAAAGTTTGACTTTTCAGTGTACAGTTGACTTTTGATCAGTTGACTGTAAAATTCATTTGCCAATCCAATGCATTTGAGATCTTTTGAACTTTGTGATTAGGTCAAGATGATGCCATTGAGTCCTTGAAATCATGCTTGAACCCAATTGGTCATTGGCTAGGTCAAAAATCAGAAATTGCCCTTTCTCAGTCAAAATCCTAATTTTGACCATTTTGCCCTTTTGATGATTTGATCAAATTTCTTGAGGAGTTGTGGTCCAAACTTGATCAAATGGTACATAGGAGCCTATAATGTGATTATGGATCAAAAATTATGAAGTTTGACTGTAAATTGGCCATAGTTGACTTTTTCCCCAATACAGCTGATTTTTAGGTCAATTGTCCAATTGACTGGACAAAAATGTGATTCAAGGCTTGAAACTTGGTATGAACAATCTCTAGGGAGTTCTATTTATAAGGCATATTCTGATAATGGGGAGACATAGTTAGGCCTACGAAGGCCTACATTCATCTTATTTCGTGCCATTATCTTTTTTACCATGGTAACAAGATTGTTTTCTCCCACTATGTCATCTTAGTGAACTCGAAGGACCACTTGGTCCGCACCCTGGTCTCGATTAACCAAAATGACTCGCGGGCGCTCAACTTCTCTAGGTATTGTTCATTTGACCATTCTAGAAATTTGTTGTTCGACCACTTGGGAAATACACTGCTAGACCTAGTTAACGGTTTCTTCAAGGATCATTTCCTCATTTCGGATAGGCCTAACAGGTTGTGGTTGCACAAATGGTTGAATTTGTGCCTTAGGGGAACCAAAGAAATCCATAATTCGCGTCATCTTAATCACTAGTTATTGATTACTTTGCGTCGTACTCCATATCAAAAGGTTGAATATGGTACCCATTTGTCAAGTAAGCAGATTCACCATTGCATGGTTACTTTCGTCTTTGCTGCCTCAAAATATTCATTGAACTCATAGTGAATGTATGCATTGCTTAGGATGGGAATGCCATTCCCAAAGACTAGGTATTTCGACCAAAATTATTTGCGGCTGATCCCGACCCTTGTAATGGAGAATATATGGTCACTGTTGGGTCAGTAAACGTTGGTGGATTGTTGTGCAAACTTGCATTATCGAAGTTGGCATTTCATAAGGTTGTTCATGACCATTCGTAGGCATTGTGAAACTGGGCATGTAAGACCTGAAATCACTAGACTCACTAGGCCTTGGAGTCAACGGGTGACTCTGTGTTATTGATAGGGACAATATTGCACCACTATGTGTGATTGACGGTATAGCTGTCATACTCGCCGTAGAAGGAATCGCTTCGATCGCATTCGCAGCAATGGTGCCTTCCCCTGTCGCAATAAGGGGTTGTTATCCATTGTTATTCTTGGGGTTTGCCATTTTCCTAATGTATCTCCTTTTTGATACTGTCACGTTATTTTTGGCTATCTTCCCAATCCTCAATCGCATGCACTCAGTGTATGAGAAGTTTAAAAATGAAGAACATGCAAATTCGAAAAAAATACACAAACTTTTAGCACAAGTGTCCCACTGGACGTGTCAATTTATGTACGGCGAAATTTCATAAACAATCGCTAGTCTTTCAAATGATAATCTAGTTGCTTGTAGGATCGACTAGATTGATCATAGGACGTATGTGCATAAAAAAAATTTAAGTTGTTGTAATTTGTATTTGAAAATAAATATTTCAATGTGAAACGAATCTTCAAGAGAATATGAAAACGATTTGTAAAGAGAAAATAAACATAAAAGACTTCGACATAATAACGAAAATGCAGAAAAATAACTTAAAGAGCATGACTTTGCATTAAGTAAAGAATGAGATTTCATACGTACATTTCACTAGGGGTGTTCATTGGTTCGAGTAAATCCGAACCAAAAACGGAATCTGAACCAAACCATAGTGTTTGGGTTGGGTATTTTTTCAGTTCGGGCAAAAACCGAACCAAACCAATGAAATCCAATGACAATTGATTCGGACATCAGATTTTCAATTTTCTACCTGCAAACTCAATCCAAACCAATCATAATTAATTATAATAAAAATTACCACCAATCATTCAAGTTCAAGAAGAAAATGTGAAATATCATACGTGGACATGTTATTCTATTTTAATTTGTTATTAGAAAATTGTTAGTGTATTGAGTGTAGAGTCATGAAACACATTAATTATCAAACTAACTCAAGTGACTAATTATAGATTCAGAAGCCTTGATGTTATATATTTTTCTTATGATATATTTTAGAATCTATTAGGGAAAATTGATAGTCTAATATTTACGATTAAACACTATTAATTCTATTTTTTTATACTATTATGAAAAATTAATTTAGGTAAATAAGTTATTTTTTTAAAATATTTTTGCATTTTTTATCTACCCGATCAATCCAACCCAAACCAACCCGTTGTTTCTCGGTTCGGTTCGGTTTGGGCTTTATCGCCAAAATTTACAAATCTAATCTAAACCAATCCATATAATTTTGAATCAGATTCTCTCCAAACCAGCCCGCGAACACCCCTACATTTCATTCAGTTGTAACTCTTTTCTCAATTCGCCATATACTTTGAGTAATATGAGTTTTGTATACAATTGAACACCAAAATCTAGTTCTAGAACTCCTATTTATACTAAAATCGAAATAACCATCTCGAACGGTCTTTTCTTTAGAATCGGGCACGTTGTCGATTGCATGTATCTTGTCTTTGATTCACTTCCACACGTCCTCAAAAATAGATAAGGCCAAAAAACAGTTATTCCAGCCTATTTTCGAATTTCAAACTTTCATAGTCAAAACAACGTCCAAATCAAATCTCAAATTCGCTAAGTCTCGAAACATTAATGTGCATGTAGAAACTTCAATATATTTCTTCAAACTTGTCTGTCGAGACAAGCCTTAATAAACTTGTCGAAAGCATCTAATATTTCCAAAATCATCTGAATTCTTTTTTGATTACCTTAAAAAGAAAGACACGTCGAAAAATCCAGCTAACAGTGCGATAGCAAAAAAAATTGAATTCTTCATCTTCCATATGGATCAAATAAAGTTAGATTAATCTCATATTTTACTACATAACAATTGAAAACCCCAACAAACCTAGTATACATTGTTTCAGAGAGTTTATGTATATTTGCTGCATCTGAATTTTAAAACTAGATGGTGTGAGTAAACCGAAGAGTATGTTGAACAATCCCCTTATTTAGTAAAATACATATCTAAAAAAAAAAAAAACAGAAAGCTTGTTTAGAATAGAAATTTGTAATAAACATAAAATATTTGATTAATTACATAGACAGGCTAGAACATAAATAAACATTAAACATTACATAATACAACAATGCATCTTCATAGATGCTTAAATTTTAGACATGATTCTTGATGGAAGAACTGTATCCACTCTGACCATCATAGTATCTAGACCAAAGCATAACACCTCCATATTTAGAAGAATCCTTAATTGCTGGAAGCACTTTAGAAGTAAGATCAGTTGCAGCTATGAATCCACTCCCTGCTGCCTCGGGAGAAGCAGGCAGCCCCAAGAAGATTTTCTTGGCTGGAATATCAGATATCCATTGTTTCCATGCATCTTCAAGATTGCTAATTGCACCTCCACTATATTGACAAGGAGGGTTATTGTAGAATTGGACCCAAACACAATCAAAAAGACCTGTTTTGAGGGCATTTCCTATCCAAGCATCAGGAAAAGGGCATTGAGGAGCTGCTGTCAAGTACACATTTTCGCTGTATCCTTTAAGGTACTTTGCAAGATCATCCCAATAAAGGTTTGTTCCTCCTTCGATGTCGAAATCGATGCCGTCGAGAACGGCGGGACCGAGAGGACGGGACGGAGACTGCCCTCCTAAGAAGTTATTCCAAAGGTAAGTTGCTACTTGTTTTGCATCCTGGGAGGATGCAAGTGAGTAACTACCGGAGCCTCCTCCGATTGAGAGCAACACCTTGATCCCTTTGGCTTGGCAAGATTTAATGTCAGGGGTTAACTTTGTGCAAGCGTTGCTGTATGGATCACAATGTCCTGCTAGGTTTATCATTGGTTTTTGGCCATTTCCAAATGATGGAAGAAAGGCTAAGATAACAAACTCATAGTTTCCTGTGGCGCATGTTTGTGCAAGGGTGCCTTCGTTACCATTTTGACCCCAATAGATTGCTATGCTGCCAGCATTTGAACCATATGCTAATGCTAATAGTATCATGGAGAAGAATGAAACTGAATTTGCCAATTTAGACATTTTCACAATCAAATGTGTTACTAAAATTGAGCTGTTTATAGTTTGAATAACTATGGTGTTGAGGAGGCTATTTATAAAGTGACAATTAACACAACATGCTTCTATGTGACTTGTTCTCATACTTTAGTACAAATTTGCAATCATTGATGTTGATATTATATAAACAGCGTGCAATTTAGCCACTATTTATTTATTCACTACTGTTTCTGATTTTTCTTCCACTCCATTCTTGCTAATACAGTCAGCATACAAGTCAAATACAACTTTAATCCTGTTGATAATTATGCCAAACACTTAGGAGATATTACAGAGATCAAAATCACATTGAATTTTATTCAGAACTCACTTATGAGAGATTACAGAGAAAAAATTACAATATTATATTACTTACAAAGAAACTCGTCATCGGTTGGGAAAAATATATATCAAAGAGTAAAACTTGATTCTTATTGACCCTCTTCTGCCTACAATAAGTGAGATTGTGAGAGTAATTGACAAGGCAAGTAATGCAGAAACTATAACAAGTGATGCTCTTTATCAGCTGATCTTAGAAATGTGGATGAATGCTCTCAAGGTCTATGATAAACATATTTTGTTCTGGGATCCACAATAAGACCCTTTCCTCCATTCACTTCCAAGTCATGCCTACAAAATATTAGTTCAAAACAAATTATAACCATTATTTAAACATAAATTAAATATTGACAAAAATTTGATACCAAATTTCGACAATAACGTAGATGGTTAACACAGTTTAAATATACGGTTAATTATATTCGGTAAATGATAATAAATATAAGATGTCGCTACTTATTAATCATCCACCGAACATTGTTAACCATGATTTTTCAAGTGTCTAAATATACATGATATGATATTCATTAAGCATTCAAATTGAGTCCAGATATATATAAGTTTTAATTGTTCAAATATATATGATATCTATTATTCACAACTTGTGTTGAAATATAACACCTGAAAATTGTGGTTAAATTATGTTCAATGGATGGTTAACATTTAACAAGTTGTGACATCATGTTATATCCATTAATCATCATCTAAGCATAATTAACCATGTATTTTGTAATTGTGTTGACCATTCAAATTGTTAACAAAAATTGTTGTTGCATTTTGTGTCAAAATAAACAGTGCTAAATTAAACTACATTTACAAACGTTTCATGGAATAACTTTATGAGAAACAAACACAACAAATGAAAACATCAAGACTCAACTGAAACACAAAATCTGGAATTGTCAACTGCTCACGCGGTACGTATCTGAAGAGCTGCAGAAGTCTATCAACATATACCACTTTCTTCCAAACCTAGAAATCAAACACCAACGAAATATCACAATTAGGATGTTCTCAGATAGGGAATAAATCAACTAAAAGAATTTGATTTTCCTAACATACCACATTGTCCACCAGTAACTGTAGAGCTAATACTGTAACTTTAAGTCCTAATGTTGGGTGAAGAATATATATTGCCTGGACATATCAGACTGTGGGATCAGAACGAAGACTACAAAGGTCTAACGGTACTACATCGGAAAAGCATAAATACTGCTTACATGTAGGTTTTGCTGGTGCTTCCGTCCAAGTATTTGTTGTAATCTTTTCATCCAACCTAGGTCTGGTTGCCTGTGCATACAAAAATAGGATGGAGAAGGGTGACAGCTGATCTCTAGGAAACCATACTACTTCGTAAGCATTGCACAAAATTTGGAGCTACAGATTATAGAAGTTACTTATAAACTACTTAGCACCGAGACTTTAGATTGATGGTGTATCAAATGTCTAACACGTGTCAATGTCAGACACCAACATGTGTGGTTAGTTCGATCATTTATATTTACTCAAATTATTACCGTTGTTTACATGTTTGTGTCAGTGTTAAGTTCGGTGTTTGTGTAAGTACTAAGTACTACCAATAATGTGAGATGTTTGACAATTACATAAAATGCAATATACGCCCATACATCGAAAGTTGAATTTCTAGTTCTCATATTTCTGATTGAATAAAAGGTGAACTTAATTAATTTTAGAAATGAAAATATTTTTTTATTTAAGTAACCCAACAAAACATATAACTAAATGCCCTAATTAAGGTTAAGTTAGCCGATTTCTCTCAAACATCCAAGTATTTTTTCAAAGACAACTGTTGGCATATTTCATACCTTCATTTTTAGCATAAAAGAACAAACCAGTCTTAAATCCTACAAGTCCATTATTAACACTTACACTTGTAAAGATGCGGCAGAATGAGAATATACAATAGTATAAGGCTTCTGTATTATTGGCTCGAACTCCTGAAATATAACATTAAGACAATTTTCAATATATTTGAAAACATAACAGGGTGAGGGAAAAAATATGGATTCAAGATTAATGATAATATTAAATGAGTCAGACTTATGCATGTCAACAGTAAAATATGTCAAACTGAAGGGTGAAATATATGAACCACCTTCACCACATAAAGCACAAATCGCTCCAGATCAAGACATCTGAGCAAAAAATGAGCCCCCACAACAACCATGACAGGATGACCCTCACTGTCCACCCCTCCACGATAGCTGAAAAACACAAACATCTTTGAAAATAAATGTAAATTTCATTCTGAATACATGCATGAAATCTTCGTATCAATTGGTTAAGAAACAAAAAATATTAAACTTTAAAGAGCATAAAGCTTCATTATTTGTTTATCATCTATTAAAATATTTTATGTTCTCTTTTGTGGAAGAACATCACTGTCATCATTACAGGACTTCCTTATAAAGTCTTTAAAAATTTGGTTAAGAAGCCAACAAGAATTGAAGAATGTACGACCTAATAGTATTGTTCAAACGGAAGAAACCTTACATTTCACTAATTGCATTAGAATCAATCACATTTAAGGTGAATAGTATTAGCTATTACTGAATCATCGGTGATTAGTACTGATTATCTCTAACTTATGAGATGATTTCCCTTATATGATTAATGATTAATACCATACGTAAAAGATATGCACATGTATAATGTTTAGCAAAACATTTTTATTCTCGACTTCATGAATCCGAATAATGAAGTAAGCAAATATGTCAAGTAATTTTGGAGCTAAAAGTAATCAAAGGATACAAAACAAAGGTGGCGAAATAGAAGGACCCTTACACAATCTTCATCTCTGCAATTTCAGATAGATTTAAGGATTTTGCTTTAGAAAGATATCTAGAGTGCAGAGAATATTCTTCAGCGGCAGACAATCGCGGTCCACCTAGGTCACCGAATCCAAGTAAATTAGCAAAATTCCAGCTTCGCTGTGCTTGAACAGTTTTCTCCCACTGTTCCAGACGTCTTTCATCAGGGTCTTTAATCAAAGACATGAAGGCGGGATCTAGAAATGAATCTAAATATGATGAAGTCCTAAAAAAGCAACATTAATCAGGAATATTCATCAAGTAAAATTTTAATAATGGATATCCCTTCACTCAAACACAACGGAAAAACTAATGTTTGGGGAAATGATAAAATAAATTTCTGTTAGTTTTGTTGCAAAAAATACAAAAATGAAGCAGAAATCATCATGGTCATTTATACTGCTGGAAATACTCTCAGACAAGATGAAGCACAGCAGCATTGTAAAGAAGAAATAGAAATTTTTAAATTATAATGTAAAACCACATTTTGGTCTGACATTTGCTTTTTCTCAGTTCAGCCCGTGACATCTTTTTTCCTTTTAGCCCCAGACATAAACAACCTTTCTTTAATTTATTTAGTCCTCTTGACCTTGTTATTTAATAAACGAAAATATGTTCATGTATCATGTTGGGATAATGTGGCATCATTCTCTGCTATTAACTTGTGGAGCATCTTTATACTATTTTTAAAAAAACTACCTATACATATATACAATCTTACAATATAATAGTCAGAAAAAAAAGAATCATGCCAAGCTGAGATATATAAAATATGAAAAAATAAAGTAATATTGAATGAAATATAAAATATTTTACTAAATATAAAATATAAAAAGTAATCTAGAGTGAAATATAAAATACGAAACGTTCTCTTACTAAAAACTTACTGACCTGCGAAACATGCCAACATCACTAACAGGAAGATCAACTGGTTCTCGAGATGGTTTTGGACCCTTTTTTTTAGGCAAAGGCTTTATTCTGATTTTACGCTCATCTATGGTAGTCTCGCCATTCTCATCCCCAACATCCGCAGGAAGCTTTGACAAAGCCACCTCCTCCTCGTGTTTATCCCGAGGAAAGTAAAGTGGAAGCAACCTACATGGAAAAAATGCAAACTGTAACGGGAAAGAATGGATAAGTAATACAGAGTATGCAGTGAAAAGCAAATAAAACAAACTGGCATAATTTGTAAAGAAGCTCCTTTCATTTGAAACATTGCAGGTATCAGCAATAGAGAAACACCTTTTATAGATGTCGATATCAATTGTGCTGGTAGTACTAAATACAACAGCTGTTACATTGTTTTTCTGCTTCTCAAGGAACCGCCGCACAGTTCCTGAATAAAAAGACATAAGAAAATGTGAAAGGACACAAGACATAGAAGACTAATAATAATATATTATACATCAGGTATGAGAAAACAGCTTTCTAATTGACAACATAAAAAATCATACCCTATATGCTAGAGACATTCAACATTGCATGTTAAATACCCCAAGACTATGTTTTGATATATGATGATGACTGCAATGGAATGGGATGAGATGGAAAGCATTTGGATTGACGGATGTTTTGAAACTGTATAGAATGGTATAATCATGCATGCAAGGATGCAACTAAACATACATGCATCTATTTTCCTTCTTATGATGCACCTTGTCGTCCCCGTTATCATTAATTTAAACAACACTTAATGTTAAACTATTTAATCTATCAAGTCAAGTTTTAAAAAAAAAAGTCAAAGTCAATTTAGAAACTGAAAACATGAGGGGAGAAAACTCACTTATAGCTACATGTGCAGCTGGTTCACGGGGATAGTTCTTTGCGTCTGTATAAATACAACCCATAGCAATGCTGCATTGACATATGCAGAAAAAAATAGCAAGTTTTAGATATTTGAGGTAACATGGGAGAGGCGCCAACTATTTCAAAACAAAAAAAAAAAGAATGACAACTTTTAAAAACCTTTGAAGCCCATTTTCAATTAGAAGCTCAAGGCAAGAACGATAACAATGACTTAAAGCATTCTCTGCAGCAGTGTGGTACTTCACTGCATACTTTGGACCAACTGTATGGATAACTTTCCTGCCAGAATTTATCAAGGCATAGAATATCATATTCTAGGTATCTAACTTCTAGCCAAGAGAGCTGCATGCAACTAAGGAAGAAATATAGGTCAGTAAAAGGGGGAAGAATACATTAGCATAATTGGTTGAACACGGCATATGAATAACCGATCTCACATGCTAAAACATAGAAAAAGAGAAAACACGCCATAACATACAAAACGTGTGCCAATATGATGGGTCCCCAGAATTCAGAAGCAGAAATTAAGTAAAAATAAATAAATCAAACAATGGAAAATAGAATGTACTTAATTGATGAAGAAAGAAAAACTGTAGAAGGGAAAGAATCCCAATCTATTCCGGAGCCACGCTCCTCAGCAATGGAGAAAACTTTCTCTGCCTAACCGTGGTGGTTCCCTCCAATATTCTTATGTAATAGTAGCTAATAGAGTTATTATATAGTTAGTCAGTTAGTTTATATTTCTGTTCTAATATTCTGTTAGTTCTATATGCTGAGCTGTCATATTTTTGTTATAGCAGCTTTAGTTTGTTAGATCTAAGTCTCTATATATAGAGAGCTCCCTGTATCTTCTCATTTCAGTTAATACAATGAGAGTTTATCAAACTGTTTTCTCTCCTCTCTTCATTATCAAACTCTATCATGGTATCTAGATCTTAATTTTTCGATCCATGGAGTCCTTGTTTCCGTCTTCGCAAGTGAAGCTTTCTCACTTGATCTCTGTAAAGCTTGATGATAGGAACTTCAAGCAATGGAAGCAACAGATTGACGGAGCTGTACGCGGTCATCGCCTACAACGGTTTGTTACTGTTCCGGTGATTCCTCAGAGATCATCGTCCGATTCCGATACGACACCACACGGTGTGAATTCTGCGTACCTGGAGTGGGAACAACAGGACACACTCATCTGCACTTGGCTACTCTCTACTGTCTCAGATTCGCTTCTCCCGAAGCTTGTAGAATGCAGACATTCGTGGCAGGTATGGACTGAAATCCATCGCTACTTCAATACGCTCCTCACAACCAAAGCGCGCCAACTACGATCGGAGCTCCGGCAGCTTACGAAAGGCACTCTCACGATTACAGAACTCATCGCACGTACACGCGAAATCAGTGAATCACTGATTTCGATTGGGGATCTGGTACCGTTACGTAACCTAATCGAGATCGTTCTTGATTCTTTGCCTGAAGATTACGATCCGATTGTTGCTGCCGTTAACAGCAAAGACGAATTAAGTTCCTTGGATGAGTTGGAGTCGTCGCTGTTAGCGCATGAACCGCGCCTTGAGAAGCATCGTAAGGCTGTGGTTACTGAACCGGCAACGGTGAATCTAACTCAGGCAGCGCCGTCGTCTTTGCCGGTTACCTCTGATCAACCAGCATTGACGGACGCTTTCCCTCAAGGTACGAGTCATGTGACTGCCAACGCTGATAATCACACTTATGGATCTCGTGGAGGTCGTTCCGGTCGTGGTGGTGGCCGCTATGGACGCGGTGGAGGTCGTTTTGGCAAAACGCAATGTCAGATTTGTCACAAATCTGGACATGACGCGTCTATCTGCTACTATCGTTACTCTAATTCCAGTGGTGCAGCATATCTACCTCCAAGAGCTCAGTATAATCCCTTCCTTATGCAATCACGCCCTATGTTTCCAGCTCAATTTGGATATTCTGTTCCCAGAGGTAGTGCACCTCCTAGATCTTCTGCACCACAGGCGTTTTATGCAGGTTCTGAAGCTGGTTTTAATAACCAATGGTGGTATCCTGATTCAGGAGCTTCTCATCATGTTACTCTTGACGCCTCTAATTTGTCTGGTTTTGTTTCATTGCCAGGAATTGAGCAAGTATTCATGGGAAATGGCCAAGGTTTGTCTATAAATTCTGTTGGTTCCATGTCATTTTACTTGTCACACACTTCCAACCTACCTCTTACCCTTAGAAATCTTCTCCTTGTCCCTAACATAACCAAAAACTTAATGAGTGTGAGCAAATTTGCTCAAGATAATCATGTCTTTTTTGAATTTCATCCTAATTCCTGTGTTGTTAAATCTCAGGCTACTTCTGAAGTGTTACTTCGTGGGTCTGTTGGAGATGATGGACTTTACAAGTTCTCTAATCCTACCACTCAGCTATCCAAGTCTGGTTTTCCAAGTCCAAATTCATGTTCTGCTCAATCTACAAATTGCAGGGCTAGCTGTAATTTGTCATCTTCATCTGTAGCACACAATACTCTTGTTTTCAATTGTTTACCAAATTGTATAAGTCATTGTAATACTCTTTGTAATCATGATCGGTTTCATAATAATATGAGCGGTTTTACTCATTCTCCTTCTCTTAATTCTACTACTTACAATACTCATGTATCTTCTCCACATTCTAATAGTTCATCCTTCATAGCCACAAGTAAATGTGTTCTTTGGCATACTAGATTAGGACACTCTAATCATCATTCTCTAGTTGAAGTTTTCAAACTATGCACCTTCCCCAATTTTCCAAAACCACCTACAAAATTGTGTCAGGCTTGCTGCCTTGGCAAGTCCCACAGATTACCATCTACCCTATCTACCACTGTTTACACCCATCCATTTGAATTAGTTGTTTGTGATCTTTGGGGTCCTGCACCTGTAAAATCTACAGGTGGTTACACAAACTTCCTCACTTGTGTAGATGCATTTTCTAGGCTTGTTTGGGTATTCCCTCTCAAACTCAAATCTGATACCTTTATCCAGTTTACTCAGTTTAAGAAAATGGTTGAACTTCAATTCAATTGCCTTATCAAATGTGTTCAAAGTGATGGTGGAGGAGAGTTTAGGCCTCTCACCAAATATCTAAATGATTTGGGTATTGTTCATAGGCTCACTTGTCCTCATACTCATCATCAAAATGGCCTTGTTGAACGTAAGCATAGGCATATAGTTGAAACAGGGCTCACACTTCTAGCCCAATCCACCCTTTAAAATTTTGGGACCATGCCTTTGTCACAGCTGCCTATCTTATTTCAAACACTTGACAATTTCTCTCCTTATTTCAAACTTCTAAATAAGCCCCCAGATTATTCAAACCTTAAAGTCTTTGGTTGTTCTTGCTATCCCTTTCTTCGTCCCTACAATGCCCATAAGTTAGCCTATAGGTCCCAAGAGTGCTTATTTCTTGGCTATTCTACAGCTCACAAAGGTTACAAGTGCCTAGCTTCTGATGGTCACATCTATATCTCCAAAGATGTGGTGTTTCATGAGTCTAAATTCCCACACCAGTCCATGTTCCCCACTGCATCTCAATCTTCCTTATCCAACACAAATCTCAACTCTACTAATGTCTCCTCTTGGTCAGTCCCTTCTATAATTCCATCCCCTGAATCCAGGCAACCTACATCCTCTCCTTCCCTTAATCCTCCTTCTCCTACTCAGGTTGAACATCATAATTTTGTCTCTCCTTCAGCCTCTCAATCTGAGTCTGTCTCAGCTTCTAATTCTAGTTCTACTGCATCCCACAGCCCTGCACCTCATACTGCATCCCATGTTCCTTCAAGTTCTGCTTCAGCTTCTCATACTCATGACCAACCAGTCCTAGCTAATGCTGACCACACCCCTCCCTGCTCTCCTGCCCTCATTCTTTCAGACCCTACTGAAGCATTTACCATTTCTCCCTCTCACTCCAACCAACCTCCTCTCAATGTGCATCCTATGCAAACCAGAGCCAAAAGCGGCATTACCCTACCTAGACTTAATCCCACACTGCTTTTAACCCACATGAAACCAACATCAATTGATCAAGCCTTGGCTACTCCTCATTGGTTCCAAGCAATGAAAGAGAAATATCAGGCATTGATGAGAAATCAGACCTGGACTTTGGTGAAAGCACCTGATTCTAGGAAGCCAATTGGCTGCAAGTGGGTCTTCAGGACCAAAGAAAACCCTAATGGATCTGTCAACAGATACAAGGCCAGATTAGTTGCAAAAGGGTTTCATCAGAGTGCTGGTAGTGATTTTCAGGAGACTTTTTCACCAGTCATCAAGCCTGTCACAGTTAGAACAGTCCTTACTATTGTTGTCACAAACAAATGGATCATCCAGCAAATTGATGTCAATAATGCCTTTCTAAATGGCACTCTTGAGGAGGAAGTTTTCATGCAACAACCCCCTGGGTTTGCAGCCTCTGACAAGTCCTTAGTGTGCAAGTTGAACAAAGTTATCTATGGGTTAAAACAGGCCCCTAGGGCCTGGTTTGACAAACTCAAGAGTGTCCTGCTTCAGCATGGGTTTCAAGCTAGTAGGTGTGATCCCAGCCTGTTCCTGCTTCATCAAGGCAAACTTCAGATCATGGTTCTTGTATATGTTGATGACATCATCATTACAGGAAATTCAGCTTCCTTTATTACATCCTTGATCAAGCTTCTTAATGATAAATTCTCATTGAAACAGTTGGGACAACTTGACTACTTCCTAGGCATTCAGGTTTCTCATCTACCTAATGGTTCCATTCTCCTCTCTCAAACAAAATATCTTACTGATTTACTTCTAAAAGTAAATATGCTCAATGCAAATGCCATGCCCACTCCCATGGCTTCTACCAACAAATTGTCAAAGGTGGGTTCTGTTCCTGTTGAGGATCCCACTCAGTTCAGATCTGTTGTGGGTGCTTTGTAATATGCCACATTGACTAGGCCTGAAATTTCTTATTCTGTCAACAAAGTTTGTCAATTCTTGTCCAATCCCCTAGAGGAACATTGGAAGGCAGTCAAAAGGATCCTAAGGTATTTGAGTGGCACCATTCAGCATGGGTTACTCTTGCAACCTGCCATTGTTCATCAACCTATGCAGTTAATAGGGTTTTGTGATGCTGATTGAGCATCTAACCCTGATGACAGAAGATAAACCTCAGGCGCCTGTGTTTTTCTTGGCCCAAATGTCATCTCCTGGTGGTCCAAGAAGCAGCAGCTGGTAGCCAGGTCCAGTGTTGAGGTTGAGTATCGTAGTATGGCTCTGTTGGCTGCTGAGTTAATATGAGTTCAGTCTCTGCTCAAAGAAATTAACTGTCCCTTTCAAGTGCCAAAAATCCTATGTGACAACTTAAGTACAGTCACACTTGCCCACAATCCTATCCTCCATAAGGACTAAACACATGGAGCTGGACATCTTTTTTGTGAGGGAAAAAGTCCTGAGCAAAAGTCTCTCAGTGTAAACACATGGAGCTGGACATCTTTTTTGTGAGGGAAAAAGTCCTGAGCAAAAGTCTCTCAGTGGCTCATGTCCCAGCTCAAGATCAGTGGACTGACATTCTGACTAAACCTCTATCTGCTGCCAAGTTTGTACCTCTGCGTGAAAAGTTGAAGGTGTTCAACAAGAGTGACTTGTCCAGACCACCCTCAACTTCTAAAGGGGACTAATAGAGTTATTATATAGTTAGTCAGTTAGTTTATATTTCTGATCTAATATTTTGTTAGTTCTATATGCTGAGCTGTCATATTTCTGTTATAGCAGCTTTAGTTTGTTAGATCTAAGTCTCTCTATATATTGAGAGCTCCCTGTATCTTCTCATTTCAGTTAATACAATGAGAGTTTATCAAACTGTTTTCTCCTCTCTTCATTATCAAACTCTATCAGTAGCCATCACAACTCACTCGCCTCACTATTTATACTACTAGCCTACTAAGGCATAACAAACCTACCAACTAAGTAGCCTACCCCACTCTTTATTTACCATACTCTTTATTACAACTGCAACAACATTAACTTCAAAATATTACCATTTGCCTTTTTTTCCGGATAGGAGCCAAAAAGGTAAGCCAGTATTGCTAATTGGCGCATTGGGGCTTCCCAAAGGGAAAATGGAGATAACTACTTTCTGACTTTGAAAATGTAAATTTAAAGGGGCCATATATACAAACCTTGCAGGAAGATCATAGGCATTGGAAACTTTAGCCATCCCTGTTCGACACCCACCCTGTCAAGAATAAGATATATGATATCATTTAATTTATCATATTTATATATCATTAACAAAAATTGCTTCCCTGGTTTGCTGTATATTTAGCCCAATCTCCCAACTAAACACATACTCCACGCATATATATATATATATATATATATATATATATATATATATATATATATATATATATATATATATATATATATATATATATATATATATATATATATATATATATATATATATATATATATATATATATATATATATACTAAATTTACAAAAGGTTATCAATATTGGGCTCATAACAATATACTACTGCAGAAGCAGTTAATACGAAATATACCAAAGTTGCACATTCTTCTGCAAGACCGGGTCCAGCTGCAGCATGCAACCCAGGGCTGCTGTGTGCTTCATCCATGACCTATTGACAAGAAACGATGAGAAATACAATTTATTAGCAGCATTATATTTACTGGAGGCTTAGCTGTAACCTGATATGAAATATCATTATATTACATAATCACAACAAAATGGCCTGAGAAGCAAGATAATTGTCAAGAATTGAGAGTACCTCTTAGGAACTTGATTTACAAGGTCACATGATTGCAACTAGTGAATTGTGATTAAGGGTGAACAAAAATTGATCTTCTATCAAGTTTATTTAAAATACAGATCCTTCTTTAATAACTTTATGCAAGCATTCTATCACTTAATATGACACTAAGCGAGGATTATGACTAACCTCATTTGTTGAGTTCACCACAGCATCCACCTCAAGGTTCCAAGGACTCCCTGTCCACAAATATATCCGCAAATTTATTTCATGATCAACCGGAAACCTAGCCACCGAACCACCTGCGCCACTTCCACTTCCCGATTTAAACGCCAAAGGATCAGGAAAATACGGACTAGAAAACGATGAATCTCCATCCTCACTCTCTAACAAATGCTCGACATCAATCCACCTCGGAACTCGATCTAACGTCACAGCAGAGTCCTCACTGTCATTAGGCAATCCGCCTTGGGATGTGGCAGACGAAGCCGCCACAGGCCTGTACATTTCCGGAACTACAACGTACCAACCCTTTTGTTGTGGTTTTCTAAATTACCCCTTCCAAGTTCCACAATCACTGTAATAATGTAGCAACAACACATAAACAAATTACCATAACCAACCTCAAGAACAAAGAACTAGATACATATAATATAAGATTCCAAAATAAATTCCAAGAATTAAGAATTATACTATCATTTTGTGGCAGCAAGAAAGAAAATGTATCAACAAATTAAAACACACACATACATGAAATTTGGATTACAAGATATGGTGAAGGAAAAACCTAATCATAGAATTGTCAATGTGATAGAAGTATGTGAATAATTGAAAAGGGAAAAGCTTAAATTGATGTAGAAAACGTAAATCACCTGAAATTGAAATCTGGGTTTCGAAAAAGAAGAGTTGTTTTGTATACTTTGTCGTTAAAGTTTGAAATTTGGGATCAATGAGAAGGGGAAAAAGTGCAAATGATGTTATTGCAGGTTCCGCGGGACGACAGAAAGAAAAGAAAAATGAAATTCTTGTTTTGTCTCGAAATAATACTAACAAACAATGATTAACTACCACTTAACGTTAATTATTACAAATTTGATTTTTTTTATTATTTATTTTTTACTGAATAGATGGTACGATTTACTCCTTCCGTGTTTTAAAATGATTGTACTTAAATTAAAGAATATAATAATATTATCATAAAAAATTATATTTTTATAAAATTAATTTTATTAATATATTAGAAATAATATAGAGAAAAAAATAAATAATACATTTGCAAAAATTATTATTATTGTATTAAAAAGTAAAAATAAAAATCACTTTAAAATAAAATTTATTTATTAAAATACCAATTATTTTAAAACGGAAAGAATATATTTAATTTAATATTTATGAAAAGGAGAAAAATATAGAGACTGAGTTTTAATTTAAAGAATTTTATTTAGCAACTTTATAAGTGAAGTGGAAGGAGATATAAATCTAAGTAATATTATTTTATGTTGCTAAAAAAATCCTTTAAAAGGTTTGCAATTTCATCAAAAGGTATTGCAAATAAAATATGAGTTTAACGGAGTTTATGTCTGATTAAAAAAAATATTATTATTTAATAGGAATAAATTAAAATTTTCATTAATGTTATTAGTTAAAAATATAAAATTAAATTATACGCTTTTTGTATCATCTCTTTTTTATATAATATTTTTTCGGTTTTATAATGATTTATTTAGAATAAAATATTATTTTAAAATAAATGATTTATTTCAATTTTTAATATATTTTTTTAATTTTATCATTTAATTAATTAAATTTTCATCATTTTTAATACATGATTAGAATATCATAGTAAAATTATTATTTTCTCTCTTATTTTTCTATATTTTTATTAATATGGGTGAAATGATGGCTTGGATCACTCATTGTAAGACAGACTGGGGATCTATCTATCTATTATCAATCTATTAAAAGTAAAGTACCTGGAAATTCCAAGTCTAACCTTTTGATTAGATGTTATAACTTTTCTTATTCCAAGGGTATAATAGATTAATCAACACTATGATGTTATCATATTCATTTGGCATTTAATTTTGCTGACATGTCAATCTATCATAATTTTACACTATTTTTTATTTATTTGATTTATTAATTTATTTTATTTATATTTAAATTTTATTTATATTTGAATTCCAATTCCAATGTTTCATTCACGGTTAATTTATTTATATTTGAATTCAAATTCCAATGTTTCATTCACGGTTAATTTATTTATATTTGAATTCCAATGTTTTTTTTTTTTGGCAGCACAAGATGAACAACCATCATAAATGTTGAGTTCTTGAAACGGTAAATCTATACAACCAAAGAAATCGTTTTTCCCAAGATGCAACAAATAACTCATTCACCCAACTCTATTAAAACACAAATCAGAAAACCTAATTTCATCTTCTTACCTAATTTCATCTTCTTCCTGCGCCGCTCCATCTCTTTTCATTCTTCTCTCTTTGTTGCTGCCAAATTCGTTTCGTTGTAATCTCAACCATCTAATATTCTCATCCTAACCTGTTAATTTATTTGTTTCAGACGTTCAAGCGTAAGAATGGTGGTCGCAACCAAGACCTCTGAATCTCAACAACATCAATAACCAACAACACCCGTTATAGATCTATAAAAGAATTTCCTTCAAATGCAATTTTTAACGTTAATTTGATTCATACATATGTAAGTGACGAATGTGAGTGATTGAAAGTTGAAACTGAAATGTAGTTTGGAATATCATATTTTATGTTGTATTATTTGTTTTCAGGGTTGTCTTACTATTTCTCCTTTTCCAAAAAAAAAAAAAGCTTAACTTGACACCTAAAATGGGATATCTTTATCTTTAGGTTTGAGAGTTGCAGAAGGGGATTTTTGAGCTTGCATGTGACGAACAACACAACCATGATATTGTTTATTTTTTTTGCTGTTAGGTATGTTTTTTTTTATTCAGATTTTATTTCTCAATTTTTTTAATTTTTTTAATTAAAATATGAGGTTGAGTTTTGGCTTTTTTTATTTGTTTAGTCTTGGTGAATACAAAGCTCACACATATATATTTACGATTGATTCTCCGAATAGATAGAAGCTTATTTCTTTTGCTTCCTCTTTCAATTTATTATTGATCTATTTAAATTTCAATTTCTCCCATCACATGTTTGATAAAAGAAGTTTGATAAAAGAATGCAGTATATTCTCATCAATTTTGTTGTTTATTTTGCTTACTATTATATTTATTTGTATCTAATTGAGATTTTTGTATTTATTTTCTTGATTTAATCGGTTCTTCTTTTGGAATATGTATGGATATGGAGGCTGATAATTGATTTCACACTTGAATCGGTAGGGGACCAATCTAACAAATTGAATAACGGATTGTTTCACAGTTTAATTTTTATACATTGATACGTAAAATGAAATTATGCTGATTGCGATTTGATTTTGTCATGTGAAAACAGGTTTAATATAGTCACAATCTGTCTTAACAAGGAATTATCAAACTTTACCTCATGGTCGATTCAAGCATTTGTTTTCGAGGTTGTAGATAGAGAGAGGATTAGTGGTTCGGCTTATGGGGGTCAACAGGACATTTGTTGCACCAATGATCTTCCTAAAACTCACTGTGTGCAATGATGGACAGGGTTGTCACCGGCCTTCTCCCATGAATTCAAATTGGCCTGAAGTTTATGGCGTGGCTTTTTATCATGCCCAAGAAATAAACAGTTTGTTTTTAGTTTTAATGCTTTATAATATTATTGTTTACAGAGTTGTCTTAACATTTTAAGTGCCAATATTCACCATGGTCATGGCAGAGTGACCATTTGCTTCTCTAATTTCACAAACAAAAATATTGCTAAAGAAGAATTGGAGACTGTCACAACAGAACCAGAGACCACTATTTTAAATCTACTTAATTGAGTCGATTTTCACATGTGATTCATCATCAAAGCCAAGTGTTAACTTATATTTTCATTCAAGTTATTTGATAGTTAACCTTATAATAGTAAATATATGTTCAATATGGTGCAGATGATTTGATTTCCCGAGCATTTGATTTGCATCTACAGCCGTAATTGAAGATTAGGAAATTGAAACCATTGAATTTTATGCTTCCACAAGGAATATCAATGGCTTTCATTGGCAGGTACTGATTATATACTAATTGTATTTTCTGACAGATAGCAAATGCAATGTTTGGAGGAACTGTTTTTGGAAGAGGAACGAGATTTTGATGAACATGAGGATAGTCAAAGGAATGAGACTCTTATTCACCCGAAGTAGGGTTCAAGAGTAGCGGGTGTTGCTGAAGTTCACTATCAATTTCAGAAGAACCATAAGTAAGACAATAATTATATAAGATGTATAAGATGATAAAACCAACGTTGATATGCGATCATTTTCTGGTTCTATAGAAGAATGTTTTTAACAAGATTTGATTCAAATTATGTATATGTATATTATTATTGCTTTCATATTTTGTATGTCATATCAATATTGGTTTTGGCATAATATATTTTTCACTGCAAATTATGTTGGCCTATGTTTTAATGGAATTTATTTTACACCAAATTCTAAGTTCTTTTGAATGTAGCATTGCCTCTAGCAAACACACTACTCTAAGTTTCGTTCAATTAACATATTTACAATCTTTTTTAAATAGAATTTCTCTTCTCCTAAAGAGAAGATAATAACCTACAAGTTGGTGTTGATGTGCCTTCAAAATTCTAATTTATTTTGAATCGAAATTATAATTCTCATTTGTCGTGAAATTTGAATAAATTTTTTATTTTGTATTGATATTTTTTTATTTTTAATTGCTATAATTTTAGAAACAAATATTACAATTTTTAATAAAATATTTACGATTTATTTTTTTAAAGTACGACTAATTAATATATTTTTATACAATATTAAAAACAAATATTACAATTTTTTAATCAAATATTGGAGTACCATTTAATTCGATACTTAATGGAGACATTATTATCATTTATTAAATTATTTTGAATGGTGACATAAATATATTTAATTTTTATATATGATTTGATTCCATAAAATATTATGATCAATAAAATTTGAACTCTCTTTTAATATTATAGGTTTGATACTATTTCATATTGTAGGAATATTATATACATTAGAATATATAAAGATATGAAAAAAATTAAATCAAAACTTTACAAATATATCTTTTGAATGGAGGTATTAATATTAGAATTTTTTTTATTAATAACCATTATTAAAAAAATATTTCGCAAATAACCGGGTTTCAGAAAAAATTACGCAAATAACCATGTTTCAGATGGCTCCACAAAGGAGGAGCCATCTCAATTGGCGCATGCACCTAGGGTTTTGCCCTAGGCGCCATCTCACTTGGCGCCTCCCTTGTCTTTTAGCCAAGTGAGATGGCGCATGCTCCTTAAAAATGAGAGGAGGCGCCATCTCACTTGGCGCCTAGGGCAAAACTAGGGTTTTTT